TCCATGTGTTTGAAGGCAGGGGACGAGGACACAGGGGAGAGGGGGGACAGGGAGGCGAGAGGCAGGTCAGAGCCTGGCCCAGGGCAGGTGTGGGGGCTCGGGGAGGTACCCTCCTCTAAGCCAAGGCCCTGCTCTTGTCCCTCCCCCTCAACTCTGGACACTCGCAACACTTTGAACAGGACAACAAACTTGATGTCTCAGAATGTCTCCTGTCTGGCTGCACGGCCTCCGGGCTCTGTCCAGACCAAATTCAACAGCCTGAGCCCCCGATGCCCCGGCGCCAGGGGTGTCTGGGGGCCTGAGTGGCCAGAGGGATGACAAATCCTCAGGCTCCGGGACTGTGTTCCAGAGAGTTCCTGCCTCATAAGCGACGCAGAGAGCCTCCAAATTTGGGAAAAAACAGAGGGATTTGGAAAGAAAGCCACTGTGTGGCCGTTTTCCCTCAGTGGCTCTGTCACCACAAAGCGCAGGAACGCGTCTCCTGGCTGGGCTTCTGGGATGAATCCAAAAAATGAGGTCTGCCCCCCAGCTGCCCAGAGGCCCCCACCCACCCCACCTTTCTACACACATGGCCCTGCCCTTGGGGGTCACCATGCAGCAAGGGGGCTCCTTCCTGGGTTTGGAGGCCAACATGGATTCCTTGAGCCTGCCCCCCCGCTCCTCACTGGGGCCCTGTGCTCCCATCTGTACCCAGGAGTTTGTACCCCAGGTGTCTGTACCCAGGAGTCTGTACCCCAGGAGTCTGTACCCCAGGTGTCTGTACCCAGGAGTCTGTACCCCAGGAGTCTGTACCCAGGAGTCTGTACCTCAGGAGACTCAGAGCAGCAGGCCAGCCCACCCCCAGGCATGCAGCTGGGGAACCCAGGGGGCACCTGGCCTCTGAGTGTGGCCCTCCTGGCCTCTGGGCGTGCCAGGAGGAAGAGGAGGGACCCTGTTCTGCTCGGCCAGCACCAGGGCCTGAGGGCTCAGGGTGGGCTGGGCCACAGCGGCCGGGCGGGCGGAGGAGCCCTGGCTCCCACTGGGCAAGCACGCAGCCCACACATCGGTGTGTCCCTGAGGACGCCCTGTCACAGAGGCCACAGGCCACCGCTCCTGCCCAACAGGACAGCCCTGTCCACCGACGTGGCCCAAGCAAGTGCCCACCATGTGCCAGCTGCCCACCCAGGGGCTCGAACTCTGGTGGGATTGTTTTTCCAAGCACAGAGGCCCCGAGGCCGACCTGTGCCAGGCTTCCCATGCCCTGGGGGGCGAGGGGGGAAGGTGCAGAGCTAACTGGCCCCGGGGGGAGCGGGAGACACACGGCTCTCCCCGCTGTGAGACGGGACTGCTCTCCCCGCTGGGACCAGGCTCAGCGCCCACACGACCAGGACGGGCAGAGGCTGCTGGCAAGAACGGCCCCCCAGACACGGGCTCGGCCCCCGCTCCGCCCTGACCGCGCCTCGGGAAGGCTGGGCAGCAGGCCTCAGGCAGGCGGCCCCCCCCCACACCCATCTGTCTTCACAGTCCAGTCGTCCAGCGCGTGCCCTGTCACTGTCCACAGCGGCCTGCAGGGTGGCCAGTGGCCCACCAGCTGCGATGCCGGGAGGCAGGGGTGAGAGGAGGCTGGGTCCCCCTCCCGGAGAAGGAACCCTGCAGCCCACACGGCCAGCCTCCTGTGACAGGGAGAGAGTGTGGCACCGCCCGGCTTGGGCAGGAGCCGGGCATCTGCCCGTCCCCCGGGGGCTCAGAGGGACAGGGTCCTCCAGCGAGAGCTCTGGGGCCAGCGCGCTGGTCTGCTGGCCACAGCGCCCAGGACTTCCCGGATTCTTTCTCCTCGTGCAGATCTGGTGACAGCAAACACTTCGGGGACTTGGCCCGAGCTCTCTAAGGAACACACCGTCCACAGCCCAGAGCGAGATAGGGGAGGGGTCACGCCTCCTGCCACCCTTTCACACGGGGAGTGCCAGGGACCAAGGCCACCCCTAGGCCCGTTTGTGCCGGGAAAGGTGGGAAATGAAACTAAAAATCTCATCAGGAAAATACAAAGTCCTCTTCTTGCCCTGCGTGGGGGGCTCCCGCAGAGCCGGGGGGTCACTGTGTGGGGGAGGTGACGGGGGGGGGGGGGGACAGAGGTTCACGACCCCGGAGGGTGCCGCCACCCGGCCAGTCCCCGGGGACCTGCGCCCGACAGACATGTGCAACACAGCGAACAGGCTTCATCCCCGCTGCCTGGAGACGGGGCTGATGTCACCCCGGGAACCGTCACGCCTGGGCCCTCCAGGGCGGGGGACAGGCGAGGAATCAGGTGGCAAAAAGAGGTGGGAGCTCCGCAGGGCAGGGGCAGATGTGCCCAGAACGTGGGGCAAAGCTGAATTTTAACTCAGGTCACCCCCCCACACACACCCACACCCACACCAGGGCAGCTTCCTGTCTGCCCCCAGCACCCACTCCCCCCATGCCAGGGAGCCGCCCTGCAGGGGTAACACCACTCCCGCCGGCATCCCGGGACACCCTTTGGCCCCGTGGCAGGATGCCAGGCTGCTCCAATTGAAACTTGCCCCCGGGAACACAGGTCTCAGGACTCGCCCTGCTTAGGTGGTGGCGCCTAACGTCCCGCAGCCGAGGCCGAGCTGGCAGCTCCCTCCTGGCCCCTTTCACCCCTGTCCTGCAGAAAGCGGCTCCACGTGGGTGACCGCGGCCAAGGCCCCCAGAACAGACCCTCGCTCTTCCGGATGGACCTCAGTTCGTCCAGCTGCCTCCCCGGATGGCCCTGGCTCCGGGCGCGCATGCCTGGCCCTCCACAGCCACAGCCGGCCCCTCCTTATGCCCCGGCCCCGACAGACCAGCTCGCTCTGGCCTCCCCTGCCTGCTGGTTGCCCTGACCGGAGGCTGTCCTGCCTCCACAGTCAAGGTCTGACTTTCACTCAAGGTCGGCCTCCTCCAATAAGAACTCCAGTGGTCAGCCAGAGCGGCCTTCCTCTGCCCTGTGTCCCTCGCTGGGTCGTGCCCTCTTCTCCTTGCCCAGATCCTTCCATCCAAGGCTGCCAGCCCCACGCCCAGTGCCTCACCAAGCTCCTGGGACGCGCAGGGAGACCGGCTTTCTGGCCTCACACACATGCAAGAAGCCGGGGCTCGAACGCCTGAACCCCCATCCTCAGATCACGTCGGACTTCTCAGGGCACACATGGAGAGACTGACGCACACGGGGAACTGGAGGGTTTGAGGCCCCGCACCCCAACCCTCCGGAGGTCTCCCCTGGAGTCACAAGGCTGCCAACGGCTGCCCTAGGATGGTCTCAATGAGGCCATTGTCTCCGACTAAATTAAAGGGTCAAGAAGCCGCCGGGAGGCAGTGCAGCGGCTGCCAGCATCTTCAGATGGGACAGCCGGCGGGTGAGGAGGGACTCGAGGCAGAGGCCCTCGCAACCTACGTGGCATGAACTCATGAACTGCGACAGCTGTTGAACCACACGACCCCAAAGCTCCACCTCCCCATCCTGCCTCAGGGCGCATCAAGCATCCCTCCCCCGAAATCCCAGTGCAGTGCTTTGGGGAAGGGACTGCCAGCTGACCCAGTCCGGGGAGAGCACCCCTCAACGCGACCTGAAGGGGGCGCCCTCGGATATTTGTGACATGAAAAGGCCGTGAGGGGCGGCGGCAGAGGAGCAGTAGCTGCGCAGGCAGGGGAGCATGCAGGTCACTCCCGGAGCCCCCAGGATGAGCATGCGCCAAGGTGTCCATCCAGCTCCGCAGCCCCTGACCTCCCTGGTGGTCTCACAGCTCCTGCCGGCGTCCGAGTGTTCCCACCGCCAGGCCAGCCCCTGGCACCCTCATCGTCCGCACAGGGCGGGCGGGCCACGGGGCAGCAAGTACCCTCTGAGCCGCGAGGGCAGGCCCCGCCCAGAGTCGCCACGGCCGGGCCCTGCGTGGGTCCAGCCAGGCTCTGGTTCCCAGACGTAACCCCCCCACATGGGCCAGGCCCAGGTGGGCCGAGCGAGCCCTGGGCTCCAGACATCCAGGTCCCAGCCCCGGGTCATGTCTGCCCATGACGGGTGGAGGCCCTCCGGGCTTGGCCTCCAGCCCAGCCTCCCCCACCCCAGCCCACCAGAGGGCTCTGCCCTGGGCTGCTGGGGAGCCCCTCCGAGGGGCGGGGCTCCCGGTCCCCACAGAGGCAGACCCGCCCTCAGAAATCCGCCGAGTGCGGGACTATTGTGTGCGCTTCCCTCCCAGCACTTTATTTACTCCCCAGGACGCAGGGCCACGGGCGTCACGAGGACGCACGAAAGCGCGCGCACGCAGACAGACACACACACATTCACACACACTCACACTCACACACGCAGGCCCAAAGCCAGGAGGCCGGCCGCACTCGCAGGGAGAAGCCCCCCTGCCCCCCAAGTCTCTCCACACTTCGTAAACCCCGGAGGGGGGAGGGGCCAAAATGCACTCCCTCCCCGCACGCAGGCCCCCCCACCCCACACAGCCCGACTCCGGGGGGCGGCCCAGGACATCCCAGGCGCGGATGGGGGACGATGGGGCGCCCCCCAAGACCTCTCCGGGTCCGCTGGGCGGCCTTCCGCAGCCCGGACTCTGCTCAGCCCAGGCCAGCACCGGGATGGGGGAGGGGGCCGTCCTCCCCGGAGAGCGCGGGGGCGGGTAGCCAACTCCCCCGACCCGCCTGAGGGGCGCAGGGCCGAGGGGACTTCGAGGGCCCACCCGGAGCGCCCCGGGAGCCGGAGCCGGAGCCCGAGGAGGGGCTGAGCGGCGGAGAGGGCACTGCGCGCCGGGTCCCGAGGAAGCCCGCGCCCTCCAGGAGGCTGTCGGCGCGGCACCCACAAACAACAATAAAAGGAAGGAAACCGGGCGGCAGGGGTCCCCGCACCGGGTCCTCCACGTAAGCGACGCGGGGCGGGGCGGGGGTGCGCGGCGGGAGGGCGCCCCATCGGGGTTCCGCCTCCCCCTCCACGCAACCCTGCAGTCCGAGGGGCCCGAGCGCTCCCACCGCCCGCGGCACCCACCCACCTTCGAAGTCCGAAATGATGCCGTCCAGCTGCGCGTTGACCGCGGGGTCGGACATGGTGGCTGGCGGAGGGCGGCGAGGAGGAAGCGCCGGGCCGGCGAGCTGCTGGGGCGCCCGGCCGCCTCCCGCTCCCGCTCCCGCCGTGCAGCGCTGGCGGCGGAGCCCCTCGGCCCGCGGGCTCTGCTGAATGAATGGGGGAGGAGGGCGGGCGCCGGCCTCCCGCTCCTGGCGCCCCCGCCCCGCTCCGCCCCCGCCTCCCGGGCGGATCAGGTTCCCGCACCCTGGCCCGGCCTCCGGGCTCGCACTGGCTGCTCCGCCCGCCTGTCAAGGCTGGGACCTGGGGGGCTGGGGGGCTGGGGCGTGCGCTGCCACCGCGGGACCGGCTGAGTCCCGGGCGCTCGACCGGAGGGCCCCCCTTCTCCCCGCCTGGCCCACGCCCAGGGGACGGCGACGGACGAGGCCGGCCCCTCCTCCCCCACCAGCGCCCGCTGCGGCCAGATGTGGGCGGATGTGGAGGCGGGCGGCGGACGCGGGGGCGGTGCCAGGGGGAGCGGACTCCCCTTCCCTGGGGCGCAGGGCTCCTGCTGCGGGAGCTGCATTGACGCGAGCAAACAAAGTTGGCTGCAAGCAAACAAAGTTGGCCGCCGCCTCCCCTCGCTCTCGGCGTCGACAAGGTTAATGCTCGGGCTGGCTGCCCGCAGGATCCTGGCCGGCTGGCGGAGAGCCAGCGGGCAAGCGCACGGACTCACATGGCCCGGAGGGGGACCCCCCTCCAGCGACTCTCCCCCCCACCCTTCCACCCGGGTCGCTCCTGCGCTCTCTGGGAGGGGGCGCTGGCCCAGCAGGGGCCTGGGGCAGGGATGCCAGAGGGGTGCTCCCCCCATCCCCACCGAAAGGGGCATCTCCCATGTGGAGCACAGACCCGGTCCTGCCCTCGTTATTAGATGCGAGTGAAGGATGGGGAGACAGGAGGCTGCCAGGGGGCAGGAACCTCTGCGCCTCTCCATCCCTTCAGCCCCTTCAGCAAACATCCATTAAGCCTGTTACCTACCGGGCAGGCAGGTCCTAGGCCCCAGGGCCTACGGGCTGGGAGGAAAGGATGAGTTGCAACTTGAGAAGCACCAGGATCAAGCCCCCAGGAAGGGCCATCGGGTCTGGCACTGACAGCTGGGGGGGAAGGGGAGGGCTTGGGGGACTGGCTTCTTCCCCCTCCATTGGCTGGGCCTGTTAGACGCTCCTGTCTGCTCCTGGTCCCCTCGCCAGCTTAGACCCACTGCCTCTGCCTAAGGAGGGGCCGAGGGAGGATCCACAGCAGGAGTGAGCCCTGGGTGCTGCTGGGCCGCCCTGCCACAGCTCCTCCAGGTGGGCACCCGAGTGCCCCACAGCGCCCCCTGGCTCTCAGGTTGGTCGCTGCCACTCCCGGCCCTCCACCCCCAGGTCTGATGCGCAGGGGATGCTGAGGTCTGAGCTGCTGCCCCCCCCCCGCCCCCCCCCCCCCAGGTGAGCCTGGGCCTCTTGCTGAGCCTGCGCTGGCTCCAAGGGCCTTTTCTCAGCAGATAAACCGAGTCCTTCCTTTTTAAGGAAGGCAGCCGCTCCCTCCCTCATGCTTTGGATATTTTGAACTATTTTCAACCCAGGGAGTTTGTGGACAGGGAGCTGCAAAACCACAGACATCTCAGATGCGTACACACCCTCGTCGTCTGCCCGGGAGCCCAGGTTTCAGAAACGGGGTCGCCGCTGCCATGAACGGCCGCCTGATGCATCCCCACCGGCCGGGCACTGCCGGTCTCAACACCAGCACCTGGGCCTGCTCCACGGTCCAACCGGCTGGGAAACCTGTCACCCCCGTATTTGGGAGTTTGGGGGTCCCCTGCCCCTAACCAAGAACAGCCTTGTCACCCAGCCGCCTGGGAAGACGTGGGTGCCCTGGATGGCATCCAGCCTGGGCCACCGCGCTGTTCTCCACTGTTTTCATAAAAAGCACCTGGGAGGGGAGGCCCGCCCATGCGATTGTCCTCGCGGAGAGCTGGCCTGGCTCCCCGAGACGCCTCGGGTCAGCATATTGTGCCGGCTCCCTGCCATTCTCGGCAGAGCTAAATATACGTGGCTTATCTCCTTGGGGACCCGGCCAGGGTGCACGCCTCACCGACATGCTCCCCTGTGGGAGCCCAAGGGACAATGGCAGGAAGGAGTCGCCCTTCGAGGCCAGAAGGCGCCCCCTGTTGGCCTGACTGCTCCAGAGCCCATCCAGTCCACCCCCTGCCTGTAGCCCTTTGCACTGGAACCACTGGGCCACCGCTGCCAGGCCCGGACACCCCCAGGGGAGGGGTTTCCTACGCTCCCCCCTGCCCCCCAGGAAACCCAACCCAGCACTTAGCCACGCTCCTCCCGCCAGGAAGTTCACCCTCGTAGCTAACCAACTGCTCTAATTGTACATCACTCACTTCCTCTTCTTCCCCTGTCCTCGGAGGAGATGGGGAACAGCTGGGCGCCACCCGTCAAGGAATAATTACTCCTCCAACTGGGGGACGGTCCAGTCGCTGCTCGGCCTTCCCTCTGGGCCGCAGCCGCCCGCCCGGCCCTGTAATCATCCCCCGCCTTTGATCACTTCAATGGCCCTGTCCAATCTGGGGCTCCAGGACCTTAATAAGGCCCCACCCCCTTTCCTGGGGCCTGAGCCGCCAGGCCAGGGGGCCGACTGAAGGGTCTTGGCAGGGCCCCGGGCAGATAAAATGAGCAGCAGCCGCAGAAAGGGGGGGAAAAGAGCTTCAATTTGGCAAGAAAGACAATAGCGAGGCCTTTGCCTTCCGGGGCACACACACACACACACACACACAGCACCACCGCCCCCCCAGGCCACGGAGAAGGGAAGGCCATCCATAGGCCTGCCCCCGGGGAAGGTGGGATTAGAGGGGCACCAGAGGGGCCGCCTACCTCCAGGTCCACCATGACTTGTCGTGGGGTGAAGGGTGGCCCCCAAAAGATAGATCCACCCGAACCTCAGAATGCGATCTGACTTGGCGGGAGGACCTTTGCAGATGTGGTTAAGACAAGGAGCTGCAGCGAGGGTCAGTCTCCCTGGAGAGGGTGGGCCCTAAACCCCAGGACGAGTGTCCTGCAGGCCTGAGGACACTCCAATACAGAGAGAGGCCACGGAAGGCAGCGGCAGAGACTGGAGTGACGTGGCCACACGCCGAGGACCACCTGGGACCCAGAAGCTGGAAGAGTCAGGAAGGGGCCTCCCGAGCCTTCAAGGGAGTGGGCCCCGCCACACCCTGAGGGGGGGGCTCGGGCCTCCAGGACGGGGAGAGTCCGCTTCTGCTCTGTTCAGCCCCCGGGTTTGTGGTCCTTTGTCATAGCAGTGCCCCCTCCCCCCTCCACACACCAATACAGATGTCAGGCTCCCGTCTGAGCCATTTCTTTTTGTTGTTGTTGCTAATCCTCACCCAAGGATATTCTTCCATTGATTTTAGAGAGTGGAAGAGAGAGGGAAAGAGAAACATCGCTGTGTTTGGGAGAAACGCATCGATTGGTTGCCTCCTGCACAGGTCTTGACCAGGGCCCAAGCCGGGGAGTTAGCCTGCAACCAACGGACGTGCCCTTGACCGGAATCAGGACCCTTCAGTCCACAGGCCGATGCTCTGTGCACTGAGCCAAACCAGCTAGGGCCTGAGTCATTTCTGTAGGTCAAAGCCGCACCTCCCAAAGATGCCCAATCGGCCACAGAACGGGTCCCAGGACAGGCTGTCCACGCGGCAGTCCTGAGGGCAGTGGGGGAATGGGGGAAAGCAGCAGGGGGTGGGGGGGGGGGGCATTAAGGTATAGCCTGAAGTGCACTGCAGCCTTCCTAGGCATGGAAGGAGTAGGCTGGGGTGGAGGGAAGCTCGCGGCCTGGGAAAGAGAGGGCGGCGGAGGAAACGGTGGGCGGAAACAGCCGTTTGGCACGCACACCAGCATCCATGACCCCCGCTCCCGGGGACTTGGGGCGGCTTGGGCAGCAGAGGGAGGGCGGTGGCTGCTTGCCCAGCCACTCGGGGTTTGGGGCAGGACACCCCATTAAGTGGTTCATCTGTTTTGTCACAGACCAGCCCCCCCCACCCCCTGGGGGGCAGGGGCCATGGGGTCGCAGCTCTGCCTGGGCCTGGCGCACAGTAGGGCCTCCCTGAGCTCCAGAGCCTTGGAGCCATCGGCTGCTGGACCTTCCCCTTCCCCCGGGCTCATAGACCGCACCGCCAAACGTCTAGATGTCTAGGTGTCCCCCTCAGTCCTGGCCCCTCGCCCCCCATCCAAGCCACCCGTGAGTTCCTACCTCCAGTGCATGTGTGAAGCAGTCTGCTCTGACCCCGAGGGGCCACCCCCAGTCCAAGCCCCCCGTCCAGGGATCAGCGGACCAGCACTCTGGGGAACACACACCAACACCACCGGGTTGGCAGCATCTGCCGTTTCTGTGGGGCAAACGCCCTTGGCCGCCGCCCAGCTAGCAGCGTGCCCCCTGAGGCTGGCGCTGGGAGAGCTGTGCAGGCCCCGTGGCGGCGGCCAGAGGCACCAGGGGCAGGGCTCGCCGGCGGGCACAGGTGAGGCTGGATGCAAAACGCTGAGGGGTGGACGGCGGTGCCCTTGTCACCTTTGTACATCGGTGAACTCCATTCTATAAACCTCATGCAATTTAATTTTCTCTAATAGAGCAGTGCATTTCTTTATGGTGGTAAAAAATATAGAAGTTGCCATTTTAACAGTTTTGGGGTGTTTATTTCCCCTCCCATTCTTTGCTTTCTTTTATTTTTACCACTTTTTTTCTAAATATATTTTTATTGATTTCAGAGAGGAAGGGAGAGGGAAAGAGAGAGAGAGAAACATCAATGATGACAGAAAATCATGGACCGGCTGCCTCCTGCACGCCCCACACTGGGGACTGAACCCGCAACCCAGGCCTGTGCCCTGACAGTGAATCGAACCGTGACCTCCTGGTTCATAGGTCAACCTCAACCAACCTCGCTGAGCCACGCCGGCCGGGCATTTTAACCATGTTTAGTGCACGGCCAAGTGGCACTCAGTCCGTTTATGTTGTTGTGCAGCCGTCACCACCCTCATGTCCAGAATGTTCCTCATCTTCCCAGACTGAGACCCTGTTCCCCATCAAACACTCACTCCCCACCCCCTCGCCCCTTAGGCCCTGGCAACCTCCCTC